AGCGGTTCCAGGTGGAGCCGCCAGAGATCAAAGCCATGGACAAGCTCATGGTCTTCGAGCAAGGCACGCTGCCGAGTACGGACTGGATCGCCGAGCACCAACGCTTGACGTCAGTCCCAGACATCCAGATGGGCTTCAAGGCCATCCGCCATTACTGCATCTCAAGGTCATGTCCGACATTGAGTAATGCCCTGACGCATGTCGAGGACACCTTGACGACGACGGCGGAGTTGTTCGACAAGGCTGCGTAGATCATTATCACGAACAAGGAGGCCAAGAACCTCCGTTCATCTGCGTCAGGCCCGAGCAGGGACCAGCATCGACAAAGAGTGGCCGTGGTCGCAGCGGCAGTGCCGTTAGACCAAACCAGCGAGGCTATGTCTGCCAGTGAAGGGGACAGATTCGCAGCCGCACGGGAAGGTGGCCGCACCGGCAGAGGCCGAGGACGCGGCAAGACGAAGACACACACCGTTTCTAGCCTCGGGCCCGGTGCAGCAGCTCAGACAGGCCCATGGACCCCGTATGGCATCTCCGAGTCCGCATACAAGGCGTGCGAGAGATTCCACTATTGCCTTTGGTGCAACAACCATCTTCATCAGACACAGGTTTTCCCATTAAAAGGCAAGGGCAGACAGGGAAACTGAGCACCGCCGAGAGTGACGAGACGACACTCTCGACGCCTTCGGAATTGGTTTCTTCGCGAGTAACCAGCCTTCATTCCGAGGCGCACGCGGAAGTCGACAGTCCTACTCTTCTACTTTCTTTTGAGGACTATGCTGCCCGGCTCATTCCAACGCTGGGTACTCAAGCTCAAGGACAAGGAGTGTGTGCGGTTTCTTCTCCATCCGGCAACAGCGACAGATCGTCTTCAAGTGGTTCGTCACGGGATTCGGCGCGCGAGTTCGATGTAGAGGCATTGGACCCGCTCACGTCTGAGGACTTTGCATGGCTTCCTCTCCCGACCACAGTCTGTTTGCCGGGACCGCAATGCGCAACACTCAGCGCTAATCTTCACACTTACCTATCCTTCTATGCACCACCAACTTCGCCGACGGATGACGAAGTCGCGGTGGGGGACATCCTGGCGTATACTACCAAGGTGGCCCGCGAGTTTCGCACGCAGCGGTACGATAACAACAACGCACCGCTCATGTATGTCCGCATTCAGGTTGGGCAAGCGTCCTGCAGCGCTTTGCTGGACAGCGCCGCGTCTCGCAACTTCATGAGCCAGTCTTTTATGCAAAGGGCTGGCCTTGGCACACAAGTTCGGAGGAAGGCAAACCCGACGACGATCAAGTTGGCGGATGGAAAAACGCAACAACTTCTCGACCGTTACATCGAGGCCGTACCGGTCTACTTCGCACCTCATGCATGCGAACCGGTGACATTCGATATTCTCGACACGGACTTCAACATCATTCTGGGAATGCCTTGGCTCGCAAGTGCGAATCACACGGTCAACTTCCATCGGCGGACTCTTAGCGTTCGCAACGCCTTTGGCGCGGAAGTGGCGTGTACTATTCCTCTACCGTACTCTTCAATCCGGTGTCAAGTAGTGACAACCAAATCATTCCGGGCGACTTGCGCTTACAAGCAGCCCGAGGAGATCGGCCTATGCTTCCTACGGACCGTCGTGGTAGCCGACTCTTCACCCACGGACTTGTCTTCGGACCCCCGTGTGGTACGGTTGCTGGACGAGTTCGCCGACATCTTCGAGTCCCCTACCGGTGTGGTGCCGGGTCGGCCGATTTCTCACGAGATCATTCTTGAGGCCGGTGCCGTGCCGCCGAAAGGTTGCATCTATCGGATGAGCGAGGAGGAGCTTGAGGTCCTCCGCGCACAACTCGATGATTTGTTGACCAAGGGCTGGATCCGCCCGAGTAGCTCCCCATATGGAGCACCAGTTCTCTTCGTCAGGAAAAAGAACAAGGATCTACGATTATGTATCGACTACCGCAAGCTCAACGCGCAAACCGTCAAGAATGTGGGGCCTCTTCCTCGCATCGACGATCTTCTCGAGCGGCTGGGCGGCGCGAAGTATTTTTCCAGGTTGGATTTAAAAATCGTGATATCATCAAATCTCGATCTAGCCGAACGATCGCTACAAAATCGCGTTCAAGACGCGGTACGGGCATTTTGAGTGGGTGGTCATGCCTTTTAACCTCACCAACGCCCCGGCGACCTTTCAGGTAGCGATGACCAATGAGTTCCGTGCAATGTTGGACCGGTTCATGCTGGTCTACTTAGACGATATTCTCGTCTATAGCCGGTCATTGGAGGATAATCTGTGGCATCTTCGACAAGTGTTGGAGACGCTCCGCCGCACCAAGTACAAGGCCAACCGCGACAAGTGTGAATTTGTCCGGCAAGAGCTGGAATACTTGGGCCATTTTGTCACACCGGAGGGCATCAGTCCGCTATCGGACAAGATTCAGGCCGTCCAAGAGTGGCCGGAGCCTCGGAACGTCACGGATGTCCGCTCGTTCCTCGGCCTTACCGGCTACTATCAGCGCTTCATCAAAGGCTACTCCAAGATCGCGACCCACTTGAACAAGCTTCAGTGCGAGGATCGACCGTTTGACTTCGGAAAGGAGGCACGAGGATCATTCTTCGTTCTCAAAGCCGCGCTATTGTCCGCGGAGGTCTTGCGGATATACGACCCGCTCGCGCCTACACGTGTCACTACGGATGCGTCGGGCTATGGCATTGGTGCAGTCCTCGAGCAACATGATGGAGTGGATTGGCACCCGGTCGAATACTTCAGCAAGAAAGTGCCTCTTGTGCATTCCATTGACGATGCACACAAGAAGGAGCTCCTCGCCTTCGTCCACGCGCTCAAGCGGTGGCGACACTTCCTCCTTGGTCGAAGCCAGTTTCGATGGGTAACGGACAACAATCCGTTGATCTTCTACAAGACCCAAGACACCGTCAACAACACCATCGCTCGATGGATGGCTTTCATCGACCAGTTCGACTTCTTTCCCGATCACATTCCCGGGAAGTCGAACCGTTTTGCGGATGCTCTCTCACGGCGTCCGGATCATTGTACCGCAGTCTACTCGACCTTCGAGATTGACGACGACCTGCGGAACAGCTTCATCCGCGGCTACCAAGCCGACCCCGAGTTTCGCGACAAGTACGCGAATTGCTCCTCTCCTAATCCGGCTCGTTCTCACTACCGGATCCAAGAGGGGTACTTGCTGGTCCACACGCGGGGGAAGGACCTTCTTTGCGTACCGAGTGATCCTCACTTGCGTACACGGCTTCTTGGCGAGTTCCATGACGCTCTCGCCACTGGACATTTTGGAGTCAATCGCACGATTGGCCGACTTCGCCAGCGATTTTGGTGGCCCGGCCTTCTCGGCGACGTCACGCGCTATCACGAGTCATGCGAGGTTTGTCGACGCTGCAAATCCCGCAACCATCGTCCGTACGGCGAGTTACGACCATTGCCAGTCCCGTTGCGGCGAAGGGAAGCGATTGCCATGGACATTACCGGCCCGTTCCCCAAGCGCAAGACCGGAGTGGATGGGATTCTCACGGTGGTCGACCGACTCACCAAGTTCGCCATGTTTTTGCCTTTTCGCTATCATGTCAAGGCATCGGAATTGGCCGAGGTTCTTTACGCCGGTTGGATTCGCACCAAGGGTTACCCCAAGGAGATCGTCTGCGACCGCGACACTAAGTTCATGTCCGATTTTTGGTTGGCGCTCATCAAGCGATGGGGCTCATCTCTCAAGCCCAGTTCAGCTCGCCACCCTCAGACCGATGGCTAGACGGAGAGGGTGCATCAGACCGCACAGGCTCTTCTTCGCACTCTCATCCACCCCGACCAGAAAGACTGGGTTGAGCGACTGTCGGACGTCGAGTTGGCCTACAACTCTTCCATCCACCCGACTATTCGGATATCGCCCTTCGAGTTCGAGCATGGCTCGCCGGTCACATCACCGTTGGACACTATTACTCCACGCACGGTCGAGAGCGACGACCATCTTCTTTTCTTGCGTCGCATGCAAGAGCTTCTTGTCAAGGCACGCGACCAGATGGCTAAGACGCAATAGCACATGAGCCAATAGGCCAATCGCCAGCGTCTTCCTTGTCCATTCCGCGCCGGGGACCTCGTCTGGGTTTCCGCCGCAGAATTCAGCCTTGAACAAGACGTCTCTCGCAAGCTCCTTCCGAAATGGATGGGGCTTTGGCCGATCATAGAGCCCGCTGGGGACGCACCCAAAGGACCCTCCTTCACGATTCAGGTGCCTAGCCACTTGCTTGTCTACCCAGTCTTTCATTGCTCCAAACTGGCTCTCTACACGCCAGCGGATCATGACGATTTTCCTGGGAGACGTACGCAAGACCCACCTTCTATGGATGGTTTTCAGGAGGTCGGCGACATCATCTCCTAGCGACGCTTTGGCAACAAGCCAACTGAGTATTTAGTGCATTTTGCATACTGCACACACTGAGCTGACCGTTGGTTAACCCGTGCGGAACTTCAAGCAACAGCTCGAGACGTTCTCGCACGCTACGAACGCAAGATGCAAGGCAAGCCGGTTTCTTCGGCTCCCCGCCGCGCCCGCGTCCAGGTTCCACCTTCAGATCGACGGCTTCGCCCTCGCCCCGGCTTGACTTCATAAGGAGGGGGGGGTGTTACATGCTGCGCGTGCACACGCAGGCCATTTTGCAGGCCTGCGTACGTTCAGTCTAAAAGCCTGAACTTCAGGCGAAAGCCTGAATTTCAGGCCGAAAGCCTGAAATCTAGGGCTTACAGGCCCCCTGTCGGTTCAGGCCGAAAGCCTGAATTCCAGGGCCTGTCCCTGTGTCGTTTCAGACTAAAAACGGCAACAGCCTTTTTAGCCTGAAACGAAGGGCCATTTTCGGTCGCTCATCAGAACGACCGGCCCTGAAACTCAGTCACCGAACCAGGGTTTCGGGAACAGACTATTAATAGTCTGTTTCCCACGCTTGCCTCAAGCAGGCTGCTGCACGCCAGCCCCTGGCACACTTCGGCATTGGCAAGAGCTGCCTCCTCGGCCTGACTGGCCCCCAGTAGTCAAGAGGCAGGCCGAGGTAGTACATAGGACTTCCCAAGCACTTCCGAGGTAGGCAGTAGACAGTTGTAGTCTTCAGGATTCGGGAGCAGCACTCTGGAGGGAGCGCTGCAGTGTAGAGTAGTAGCGTTAGCTTGTAGTCTTCAGCGCTGGGCGCAATAGGTAGCTGTAGTCTCCAGCGCTGGGCGCCATAGCTAGGTAGTACTAGAGAGAGAGAGAGAGAGAGAGCTTGGGCGGAGGCCAGAGGTACCTACCTGCAGCGCCGTTGCTCCAACTTCGTCTTCGAGGTACCTGCAGCACAGCGCCAACATCACAGGTTAGTATCTGGTTCATAACAGAGAGAGAGAGAGTTCTTCTTCTTCCTTTTCTCAGTCCACCATCTCTTCTCTCCCTCTCAACTTTTGACTTCATTGCATCTGCAGACTATGAGAGAAGAGATACCGAGCTTGGTGACATTGGATCCAGACTCGACTTTTGGGGGTTCAGACATGGCAACGAGGGACTATTTGGGATTGGTGACCAAGACTTGGTGTTAACGACATTCCCATCCTTCTCCCTCCTTTCGTTTAATCCTTATCCCTTCGTCTGTGTATGTCTGGACCTGGCGCTTTCTTCCTGTGTACAGCGCCAGGCTCCTTCACACTTGGTGATGGACACCATGCATGTTTAGTCTGAGTTCCAACCTTGATTGGGCTAGTTAGCAGTACTCTAGCATTCTGCTTCGCTACTATGAACTACGTGAATGAGGTCAGTCCTGCCAGGTCAGTCTTTGTATCAAAGTCTTCCCTGCGCTATTCAGCACCTTTTGTATGTATGAGAATGCACATTGTCTGTCGAGATTCTACTCGCACTGTATTGTCCATTCAGTCCTTTTCATCACACTGCAGTTCCTCGGTTAGTACGTACATTGCATAGCTGTGCATGTAACACTGTCGGTGATGATGGATTTTCGTCGGAGTGACTCCCTGGCTCAGTGGGTTGTGGGAACCAACAGTCTGCGGGGTTCTATCGTGATGTGAGTAGGTCCTGTGCTGCTTTGCTCCGTGTTGGATGTGTGGACATCCTCGTCTGCACTCCGCCTGCCCTGCTCAGTG